TGGAAACAAGTCTTCGGACTTAGTGGGTTATCCTTGGTGACCAAAAATACTCCTATCCTAAGATTATAATTGGTATTAAAATTCATATATTTCCGCTCCAACAAATAATCTACATATCAAAAGAATTTCTACATTTTTGTATCTCTGCTAATATCTGCACACGGGAAAAACGACTGATTGATATTGAACAATTTTTTTTTTAATGCAAATAATTACAATTGTAAGGTTTAGATTTGTTGTAGTTAATTAAATTTTAATAATTATGTTCACAACAATACTTCCTAATTTAATCCTATTTAATAATTTTAATAATTCTAAAAAAATGTGTTATTCTGTGGTCTCTTTGTGATTGTCTAAGTGCAATTTTTTTTTAAATTGTAGATTCAAATTTGTAAATATATTTAAATAATGAATTCACCTTTTAGTTTCTAATTTGTTTTTTCAATCACTCACCTCAAGTTTCATTGAAAGCCTTCTGAAAACCAGGAGAGGGTTTGCCCATTACTTGACAATCTGATTGTTACTCCTCTTGAGGTTGAGTCTTTGCTTAAAGAAATTAAGCCTAACAAAGCCCCAGGCCCGGATTGTATCCCCCTTGGGTCTTAAAAGAGTTCTCTCATGTTTTAGCCAACCCCCTGTGCTCAATTTTTAACTGTAGTATAAGTGAGGGGTTTATCCCAGAGATATGGAGGTGTGCGGACGTAGTTCCGATTCCAAAGTTTAAACCCCCTAGGTCAGTTGAAAAAGACCTCCGGCCAATTTCCTTAACGTCATGTACAGTTAAAATTTAAGAGAGGGTAGTTGGTGAAAGAATATGTTAGCAAGTTAAGGATAAAATCATCCTTAACCAGTTTGGGTGCTCTAAAAGGGTATCAACGGTTGACGCATTAGTACATTTTCTCCATGAATGCTACAAAGCTATAACTGATGTTCGCCAAGAGGTCAGATTGCTCCTTCGTGGTTTCAAAAAAGCTTATGACCTGGTGGACCATAATGTCCTTATTGATAAACTAAGACGGCTTGATGTTGATTTTGCCTTAATTTCCTGGGTGGCATCTTTCCTTTGTGACAGAAAGCAGCTTATTAAGCTTGGATCTGTTTTTTCTAGTTGGGTTTCTTTGAACAGGGGGATACCTCAAGGCTCTTGGCTGGGGCCCATACTTTTCATTGTCTTTGTCAATGACCTCATGACCGGAGTGTCATTCATTAAATATATGGATGACACTACTGTCTATATGAGCGCATTGGCAGAGACAGATCTAGTGGGCTCCAGTCAGTTCTTGATATGGCAGTTGATTGGACTCTTGATAATCATATGGTTATCAATACCAATAAAACTGTTGAAATGCTAATGCTGTTAATCTAATAAATCAAACTTTTACCCTCTCAGTATTAATAACAGTATAATTAATAACGTTAATTCGTGCAAACACTTATGTCTTAATATTTCGAGTGACCTGTCTTGGCAATTGCAAGTGGACACTATGATTTCCAAAGGTAATACCAGATTGTATTTCCTTAAACGATTAAGTAGATCTGGCCTATGTGTCCCGGGTATGATTCGCTATTATGTTTCTGTTATACGTCCCGTTTTAAAATACGCAACTCCAGTTTGGGGAACTTGTATCACTGAAACACAGAGTAAACAGCTTGAACAAATCCCAAGTAGGGCTTTAGGGGTTATTTTACCTGGTGTTAGCTACGAATGTGCAAGGTCCTTTTTAAATATCCCTACTGTCAGAGAGGCGCACCCGGTTCCAGTGTTACCCGAACTATTTCCAGAAGCTCAAAAATCTCAACGCATAGGCTAAATCATCTTTTGCCTAAAGTTAGGGAGAAGCATTACAGCCTAAATTGTAAACGTGAATTTTCTCTCCCTAGAATAAAAACAGAGCGTTCGAAGAATTTTATAACAAATGCTAGTTTGTTCAATAACTGGTAGGTCGTCCCTGTACACACGGGCCCTCCTTTCTGGCGAGATCTTTTTTAGATGAGTTATTCCTTTTATTTTTCGCGAGTCGGTTTTTGGTTGGTTTAGCTGTCGGTCCGCATTGTCTTATTGATTCCCTGTTGCAATAATGTTTTAACTTAATTGTAAATAAAATGTCATATAAATTTTAATTAATTACCGAATTATTTATTTTTGTACAATTCTTAACTTAATGTTTCCTAATTAATTGTAATGCCTTATTGTAGATTTATTCTATTTTTGTATGTGTTTGTGATGTTGTTTTTAATGTTTTACCCCCTTTTGTTAAACTTCAATTTTGAATGAGAGATTGCAATAAAGTTCTTCGTATTTCGTATTTCGTATTAATTTGATATTTAAATGCAATTTATTGAATTTGTAAATTCCAATTGGTAAATATCTAAATAATGAATTGATATTAATAATCTCTCTATATCTTAATAAATTTAAAGTAATGATTTTAATAATAGGCCTAATTGTAAATATTGTAATTGAATTTTATAAAAGCGGCAAATTTGAAAATCGTTAGGCCTATAGGACTTAGTTGATTCATATGTCTCATTCACTTTATTTTGACGTTTGTTTAGGTAACAAGAATTTAGTTAATGTTTCATGCAAATACTATTTTGCTAACTTGTTTAATGTACGCTTTTCTTATTCAATGGGCATTATATTTGTTCTCTTTATGTTTCTTGTTTATTGTATTTGCCTGTAATCTCACATGTTTGCCCTCTGGGATTGATGTGAGTCTGTTTTTATACCGAAATAAATAAAAAATAAAAATAAAAATATGCCTATTAGAACCTAGTTCACGTCATATCCTACCTTCATAGCACACGCCAATGCCGGTATGTAAGCGATACCAGATCCAATGCCAAATATTAATCCATAGGTTAGAAGTACTGAATAAAATGAATCTTGTATACTAAAATAGGTCGTAAATACACCAATGCTGTAAAAATAATTTTAATAGATTAATAACAATACAAGGAATTCATTGTTATTAGGCCTATCTGTTACTGATTTATTACTTTTAATGTTAGTCTACGTATTGAGCTTTAGTTTGGGCAAAAATATTGCATAAATAATTTACGGTTATTTTCTTCTCAAAGTTGTTGTTAAGGGCCTCGCGGTTGTGACAACGCTGAGGCGCTACATAAATCCAGAATAATAATAATAATAATAATAATAATAATAATAATAATAATAATAATAATAATAATAATAATAATAATAATATAACAAATTATTATTATTATTATTATTATTTCTTTTATTGTATGTATATAGAATTATTATTATTATTATTATAATTATTTTTATCATTAATAATATTATCATTTCCATTATTTTTAATATCATTGACATGAATAAGATCATTAACATTTTTATGCGAGAATACTCATGGTCATGCACAGTGATGATGACGATGATGATGATGACGATGATGATGATGAGATTGATGATGATTATGATGATAATGATGCGGATGGCAATTATGCCTATCACTACCGTTATCGTTTTCATTATTAGTGTTGAAATATTATCATGGCCTTTTAGAGCCCAAATTTCTCAGTCAAGTACAAGAAGACATTAATATTTACCTTGCAACCCAGCACCCTATGATTGACACTAGTCTCGGACCTAAGCGTTCATCTAACACGCCTCCTAACGGTACCGTCGCTCCATAGCACGTTATTAACAAAAGAAATATCGAAGTTGTGTCCTTTACAAAATAAATAGAAAACACAATATTCATATAATAGAGGGGATTTATATTTTGGTATCAGATGGGTAGAGAACGCTTGTATGGCTTGCCTTTCCCCCAAATAATTTCGTGCAGAAAATCAAGAAAAGATGGATACGGAGGGTCATGCCAACAACGTTTATGACACATGCGCTAATAAACAGACCTGTAACAGGTCCGAAACTGCGCACACCCCTCCAAAAAGATTGCGCGCCAGCGGGGCTCCTCCACGCCACACAATTGGAAATTGAGGACAAAATTACGCTCAAATCACCTATAATTAAAACTATTTTGCTAGCTTGCTACCCCTCAGTAAACTATCGAGCCCCCACCCAACCGTATGCGCCCCACAAGCTAACCCATGTCAATACGCCAAATACGACCCCACCTGGAATATTTAGAATAGATCAGAAACACTAAGCCCCTGCATCTAACGGTAAAAACATCAAGCTAAATATATCTAATAGACAATCATAATAAATACAATGATACTTGCATATTATAACGGTAAGCTATAGGTTATTAAAGATAGACCTTCCAAAATATTGATCACGTATAATGGCCTACCTTATATCGTATACTTTCAGAAGGGGTCCGCTCTCGCAGGTAGGATGTGATATAGGAGGTAAGATTACCTGTAAAAAAGTCAAAATACCAAAGCTGTTAATACAATTTTTCTGCAAATAACAACTTCAGCAATAAATAATGATAATTAAATTAATAATAGAAATTCCATGGTTTATGTCTAATAAGTCAGTTGATATTATAACCTCTGTTTATTGATCAAATTGAATACGTCCTTGACATATTATTATTACTATTAGTATTAATTACCAAAATGTTCTATATTAGGCCTATTTTGTTTGACCAGTTCACGGACAGTCTCGCTAAGGCGTGTGTTTATATTTGATCAGATTGATATTATTAGCATAACAGAAGACAGTTGACACTTAAAACAATGCCGTCTATAACAGTCATTTATGATTCAAATACTAGGCGTTGCTATCCAATTAGTATCGATTACCCATTCTCTAAATCATGGATTTCTTAAACTCCAATGAATTAATACTAATGGGAAATAACTGTTGATAATTACGTATGTTTAAACATCATCGCCTATTATGCAATGCTACCGTATACATTTATACGTGTCTTATTCGAAAAATTTAAGGAGGTATACGGTACCATGTGGCCTAATAGCTCAGTCGAGTAGAGCAACCGAATGGTATTTAGGCCTATCATATTCCGAGAATATTTGGCTCAAAATCCGATGTTAAAAATCATATCATAGCAAACTGTTCAATGTAAGGATATCAAATTAATTAACTCTAGGCTCATGGTAAATATCTACAGATTTCGATTTTTGAATATGCATTTCAAACAGACAGCCTGACAGACAGGCGGATTCACTGTTGTATTTCAATATAATATTTGACATGTGTTATAACCTTTAAGAACGCACTTTTGTACAAAAATGATGCTTACGACTTCGAATCAAAAACAGTGTTTTTAAATCAAAGAAATTGTTTTTAATTTTATAATTGAAGGCTAGCTAAGCCTTGTTTGTCCGATCTGCCAACCTACGCCTAGGTAGGTCAGCATGCATTTTGCATGCAGCTGGCCAGAATTATTCTTTTTATATTCCTTCACACAGACGGGGAAGGGTTGTCTGAATCCCCATGGATCCGCCTCTGATGTCTGGCAAAAATGCTACAAAAATCATATAATTTGTTCCGATCTCATACATAAATATGTAAAGTCTTGTTTGTGTAGATATATTAATTTCAAAAACAGTAATTACCGTATTGAGGCAAAGTGATATTGCTTTAAGATAACAAGTTACAAGGCTATACATTCATTATCATTTTACGTTTTACACCATTTTACAATTCTTAAAAACCACAGTACTTGGAAGTTCTACTGTTATATACTTTTTATGTTAGGTCTATGCCTCCGTACATTTATTTTGTACTTTTAGATTTCAAAATCAGTTTACTCCTATATTGAAATTTCTAAAAGGTACCATCCCAACACCTCCTGCCTTAAATTCAGGCAGATATATTATCTAATTTTCTAATTGTAACAAATCAAATTTTAGCTCACGAGTCCTGAAAAGGTAGGTCTAGAATTTGTTTTGGCAGCTCCCCCCTCCCACATCTGCCAATGCTGAAACCTTGCAAGGAACAAAATATGGAGCCGATTACAAAGCAAATGCAACTATTTAAGGATGGAGAAACCACGGGACGCATGATGAGAGCGAAATTTGACGTACAATAACAGAATGACGGCGACAACGGTGATGATGACGCGACGACGATGATGATGATTATAATGATGACATAAATGAGGACGAAGATGATGGTGATGATTGCAACGATAATGATGATTGCAATGATAATGATGTCGTAGACATATCTTTCGGTGAGCCTGTTTATCTGTAGTAGTATATATTAAATTGATTAAACCTTGATGAACCTACCAAATGTGTACCGACTTCCTAGGGTGATGTGAATAAGTATCCCTCCAAGGACCACAAGCCATCCCTTCCATCGTACATTCTCAAATCGTGATGACATCATCGTCTCAAATCAAATCCCAAAACTTAGTTACAGTTGAGGCATCTAATCTTCCTTACACGTACCCGGTCATGACACCGATCATCCTTTCCATAAGTGATACAAATCATTTCATCCTTTCCGTTAGTTATTCACGATTGAATGCGAACAGAACATCTGTTGTAGCAAGCATTGTGTGGGTTTTATAGATCGATAAATAAATGGAATTACAGTATTTGATTGTCCAACCTGAAACTTTACAGGCAAAACCTTTATCAGGGGGGTATTTTTTTGGTCACAAATCGAGAGGAAGGGAAATACAAAATAGGCGCTTTTGTAAAATAAGTTAAAAAAAAACAAAACCGTAAATTCATCACAAAACGTGGCGAAGCAGAGAATTGTGAGGGCACATTAGGCTCTGGAATGTTATTCAACAGATTACAAAATTCATCATAATAGACATATAATTGTATTTACTGTAATTTAAAACGAGACTGAAGCAACAAAAGGAAGTCCCTGTATGATTATATTATGCTTCATGTTTATAATTAGGTAATGGGAAATTTTTAAATATATTTTATAAATTAATCATTTTAAACCTCAAATTTTTTGAAATGCCGCGGAGGCCAGGCCTCGTAGGCTGCCTTAGTATGATATGCCCGCCAGCAAAGAGGTATGTAAAACCTATTGTTTTTTGCTCCGATAAGGAGCTCTAGGAATAGTCTGCTGACTGTCTGTTGTTTGCTGATTAACAGGGGCGGATCCAGCGGGGGCCCGTGCCAGTCACACCGAAAAATTAAAAAAAATGAGAAGATTTAAATTAAAGAAAGAAAGAGGGGAAAAAAGGAAGTGTGCCCATTAGTTCAGTGTCGGATCCAGCTGTGGGCGAAAGGAGAGTTCGATTACCGGTATTTTACTACTCACTAATTTTGAATTTTCTATTGCTTGACGACGAACACAAACAAAACGCTATTTCCCCGACGCCGATTTTTTTTCCCAGCGATTTTATAATTTTCCAGCGAATTATAAATTATGGGAGGAAGTCCATAATTTTGTCGAGGAACACTGCTTTGAAAAAGCATTTTTACCATCTGTTGTGCTATTTCCGAGCGTCTAGAGGGGCCTATTCTTAAAATTGCTTAAGAGCCCCTTCGGTGCCCCTACCCATAGGGTCCAGTAGGGTCCTCGCTGTAGCACTCCGATCCAAAAGGGCTTTGTTAATACAGAACAGCACAATGTGTCACTGACATCGAATGTAGGACATATATCATATTAATCCAATGGGGGCCTGGGTTGCCCAGCCGGGCAGGACCCACCTCATTTGGAAACATTGTTTTAAAAAAGGAGATATATTATTCAAATTTTAAGTCCTGATTAGACCTTTCCAACGCCCGTGAGGGAGGGGTACATCTAAGAGAGCATAACTCCCGTCGAGAGGAAGTCAACAATTTTGTCGAGGAACATACTCTTACCATCTGAGAGTGCCATTTCCAAACGTTTATTCTTAACATTTGCCCACCTCAGCCCCGACCATGGTGGGGCTGAGGTGGGTGTGGAATACCTATTGGGCCCTCCGTCAGAAACTTTCTGGATCCGCCCCTCTGATTGACTGCTTTTTAGCTGATTGACTGCTTTTTTCATTCTTTAGAGAAAAAAAATAACGTCGGGAATTGAACAGAGACCTCTCAACCCTTTAACCTACATTCACGCCTCTAGACCGTGGGGTGGGCATTAAAACAGGAGAAGCAATGCAGATATGCCAATACTCAAGGAAATGTACAGTACAGCAAGGAACTACTGAAACCCTGACCTCGAGGTTGGGATACCATACCGTTCCCGCTGCACCAAACCCGCTTCTACAACGTATAAAACTATTGTTGTTTTAATTACATTTGTCCTGATTTCATATTATAAATGAATTGAATTTACATGTAAATTGTTACTATAAATTAGATCTAATTCTACTTAGCTGATTCTGATGTCAATAATTATCGTTGTATGAAAACATGCCAAAAACCCTATAAGGACTATTTTGCGTTTTTGGTCAGTGTCCTATTAAGGGGACACAATTTTTAGTCTCGAAGGTGTCCCCTTAATACTAATAGGGGTTTACTATCCAATGACAGAACTGGATGGAGAAATGCGATTCACACTGGTGCAGCAAGTGAGCAGAAAAAGGACAACCGCGAAACAAGATATTTGAGAAAGGAGCGTCAACAGACTGCCAACACTTTACCAACCATCACCGATTTCAGATGCCCAGTCTGCCAGAGAATAATCTGCCTATCAAGAATTGGACTATACAGCCACCAACAAACTAACCTGAATAGGCCTATACCAAGTGGGCATCTTATTCGTTAGCTGTTCGTTGGGGGTACGCTGGGGTCGATTTTAATTTTTGGACATGTTCAAAATTTTGAACGTATGACAACGTTCTGCTACATACGCTATGTATGTAGCAGAACTACACTGAACAGGCACTTTTTATGCCTGTTCAGACATTGCCTATCACGTATTTTCGAATTATGAAAAGTGTTGGCTGTGGCACCGAGACCTCTGACGATTAGTGCCCAAAATTGTTTACAAAAACGTAATGCAATAAAAGCATATTGACTATTATTGTATATTTTCTGAAAATATTTCAGCCGCTCCAAATCTCTTACCTATTCTTCCTTCTTCCAGTAGTGGTGCCTTTTGTTTTTTTTTTAATTTTTTGTTAAACAATTCTTTATGTTGTGTATATTTTTGTTATGTTTAAACTGTACCACTTTGAAAATCAGTGTAACAGTACTGAAAGTGCCTACAGTATAAAGAATAAATAAATAAATAATAAATAAATAATTTTAAGGATTAATATATAAAATATAACACCTGCAGTAGCGGTGCCCGTAATGCAGTAGCGGTGCCCATCTAAGGATTACCGGTAAGGTATAACATATAATCATTCATACTGAGCCATTGGATAGTCACCTTCCACAAACATCGCATGAAACCCATTTTGATGGGAGTTCTGGCTTACTATACACCCAACACAACAATGTCACAGAGTTCATGTTTGTGAATGTGGCATCTTTGCTGATTCAAGGAGCTTGCCACGACAAAGTTTCTCCTCGCAATGGCGTGTGGACATGCCCCAGGGTTTCCGGTGAGAGTTTTCTGCTCAATGCTATTAAGGTATTCTGTAATAATATACAAAAAACATTAAAGAATTATCATACACTTGCAAATTTTCTATGCATAATACTGTATACCAGCTGTAGGCCCTATAGACAAATGTAAAATATGTTACAGTAGAGTAGGTCTATATTTCTCTACTTCAAGCTAATTATTATTGTTAATAAATTTAAAATTGTGTACCAGCATTACAAATGTGCCACATTTGTGAAATATTATGTGCTTTAATCCTTTTTAGTGTTACTATGGGTACTTTTCAAGCACAGTGCATTTACTTATTTACTTTAGCTCAACATATATGATATTAAAGGAAATGTTACATGTTTTTGTAATGTCCACCTAGATCATTTTGTATAGTGTTAGTCTCAATAGACTTGTCCTCATCCACAGACTGAAACAAGTACCCCACTGGTGATACCGCCCCATCCACCCCTCCCCGAGCCCTAACAATAACATTTACGAATATCTTGACGCGACACAATTCAGAACAACAAAATTGCTACCACTTAATTAAGTAAATACAGTACTGGATTTATCTCAGTACAGTACACATAAAACATCAGTTTTCGGATAATCAACGAGTCGATTTAAGAAAACAAGAATATTTTATAAAAGTCTTTATCTTTTGAGTAAAGTGAAATGATGGCAGTGGTAAATGTCTAAAAATTTGTATTCACCTTAAACAGGATAAACCTGGTTCTTTCTTTCATCACTGCTGCATTATGGGCACCATTACTGTAGGTGTTGTTATATTTTATATTAATCCTTAGATGGGCACCGCTACTGCATTATGGGCACCACTACTGCAGGTATCCCATATATATCGGTGTAACGATGATATAATAAAAATGGGGAAATCAAATGGAAATCCTTCGGGATTTGAACCCGATCACTCCGACATACCATATTGATAATCTGACCGAATGGGGGCCTAGTAGAATTAGAGCCATATCCCCCATCGTCGGACATAAAATTATATAATCCGACATACAAGGAATATAAAATTGGACCCCTTCTGGATTTGGACCGCACCCTCCAATCCCACTAGATCCAGGGCGGGTCTATTTGTGTTGGAGCCATTCCATCGATGTAATGATGATACAATACAAAACGGTGAAAAAAACGAATTCGATCCCCGGGAAAAATGAGAATTTATCAAAAATCTATAGGCCTAGATGATAACATGGATCGTGTATTATTAAAAAAGTGCAACAGAGTTTATTACAAAGTGCGACTGCTCATTTTATTACAAAGTGCGACAGCTCAGTTATTACAAGGTGTGACAGACTTTATTAAAAAGTGCGACGATTTTTACAAAGTGCGACGCAACACATCACTACTGCAGGTGTTATTATATTTTATATTAATCCTTAGATGGGCACCGCTACTGCAGGTGTTACATTTTATATATTAATCCTTAGATGGGCACCGCTACTGCAGGTGTTATTATATTTTATATATTAATCCTTAAATTTATTTATTTATTATTTATTTATTCTTTCTTTATACTGTAGGCACTTCAGTACTATTACACTGATTTTCAAAGTGGTACATTTTAAACATAACAAAAATATATACAATATAAAGAATTGTTTAACAAAAAATAAAAAGAATATATAGCACCACTACTGCAGGTGTTGTTATATCTTATACATTAATACTTACAGTAGATTGGCACCACTATTGCAGGTGTTGTTATATTTTATATATTAATCCTTAAATTTATTATTTATTATTTATTTATTTATTCTTTCTTTATACTGTAGGCACTTCAGTACTATTACACTGATTTTCAAAGTGGTACAGTTTAAACATAACAAAAATATATACAATATAAAGAATTGTTTAACAAAAAATAAAAAGAATATAGGCACCGCTACTGCAGGTGTTGTTATATCTTATACATTAATCCTTAGATGGGCACCGCTACTGCATTAATGGCACCACTACTGCAGGTGTTGTTATATCTTATACATTAATCCTTAGATGGGCACCGCTACTGCATTAATGGCACCACTACTGCAGGTGTTGTTATATTTTATATATTAATCCTTAGATGGGCACTGCTACTGCATTATGGGCACCGCTACTGCAGGTGTTGTTATATTTTATACATTAATCCTTAGATGGGCACCGCTACTGCATTATGGGCACCGCTACTGCAGGTGTTGTTATATTTCATATATTAATCCTTAAATTTATTATTTTTTATTATTTATTCTTTATACTGTAGGAACTTTCAGATTACACTGATTTTCAATGTGGTACAGTTTAAACATAACAAAAATATATACAATATAAAGAATTGTTTAACAAAAAATAAAAAGAACATAGGCACCGCTGCTGCAGTATGGGCATCACTACTTCAGGTGTTGTTATGAACACCCTAAAATTAATATGGATATGAAGAGTATGAAATAATTGAGACAGGGCCGGTACTAATGTGTGTTTGTAGAATAATAATTGGTTCGTAGCCAAAGCGTCCTAGGCCTCTAGGGGCCAGACCTACATTACCATATAAATCATCTAGTGGTAGCCTGGCATTAACATGGCATGGGCCTGGCGCGGCTACATAGGCCATTGTTTATTATTAGGACTACTGCCGCTGGTGATAGCTTCTGTTTATATTCTTTTGTACTACTTACAAGGTACAGAACATACAAAAAAAATAGGCCTAGGCTAGGCCTATATAATTTCACTTTGTTACTTTACACAAGCAGAAAAAAAAATCGTGTGTAGGCTAGGACAGCAGAAGTGTGTGTTCACTGGACCTTGTCGACAATAACATACAGAGCTAGGTGAAATGAATATTCAATTTCTATTGCTACTTAATTATTCATGAACCTGCAGTCGCCCATATAACGCTTACCGTTTCCAAAACTCTATTCGAATTCGAATAGGGCGCCCCCAATTTCCTGGTAATACTTTTTTAACGTTCCATTGGCCGTACTCGACTGGTCGTTCTTCGTTAAACCACGCTCACCTGCGCAGCGGTAAAATCCTACTCAACGAAGACGACCAGTCGAATAGAAAACTTGTAAATACTCTACAAAACAAAATGGCTGTATAGTTACCGCGATACACGTTGCGTAATCAAGATTGCTTCAACTTGTGGTAGTAACCAAGGGTTTTTCATAAAAAAAACATATTTTCATCCAGAATTACAAAAACAGAATTCAAAAACTGGATGAAAACATCTTCTTTACGACTAACCCATACTGCCACAATCTGAAGCAGCCTTGATTACGCAGCGTGTATCGCGCGTATCGCGTTAAATATGCAGCCATTTTGTTTTGTTGAGTATTCAGCATAGAGCTATGTATTCAGTTTCCTATTCGACTGGTCGTCTTCGGTTAAGTAGGATTTTACCACCACTGCGCAGGTGGGCGCGGTTTAACGAAGAACGACCAGTCGAATACGGCCAAAGTGACTCCTTGGCGGCGCTATTAGAATTTATCTCTAACACTGACGTGATAGATAGTACAGTGTAAACGTCTGATTGCAAAATTGAAATCATTAAGGTATACTTTTCTCGATTAAATGACAGGTAAGATGAAATGTTAAATATGATAATCTGAACATGCGATAGTAGATACTGATATGTAAAATCAGCTACTGCTGTGCTCTAGGCCTACATTGCCCAGTCTAGCCAAGACCTTATTAGTGAGTGCCTACTACTACTAGTACTACTACTACTAGGCTACTCCAACTAGCCTAGGCCAGGGAGGCGTGCTAGTAGTAGAGGCTATGGGTGACAGACGATCGGGCCCACGAGACGATCGGGCCCAGATGATTGGGCCCACGAGACGATCGGGCGCAGAAGATCGGGCCCAGATGATCGGCCCATTTTAAGACGATCGTACCCAATTTTGAAAGTAGCCCCGATTGTCTTGAAAATGGGCCCAATCGTCTTTTAGGCAAAATTGAAAATTGGGCCCAATCATCTGTTGGCAAAATCAACAATTTCTAAAACCATTTTGCTTGTCTAGGTCAATTTCGGCTGCACCCCGTCAAATGCCGAAATGTATGGAGCGCCGCGTTGTTGTTCCGCGAGTTCTGGCAGAATCGAAAATTTCTAAAACATTTTGCTTGCCTAGGTCAATTTCGGCCGCCAAATTCCAAAATGTATGGAGCACATTGTTGCTCGTTTTTTTTTTTTAGGCCTAAAATAAAATGTACTTGTATTTATCAATAAAAATGTTCTTCTATTTTGTGAAACATGAGTAAATAATATGAGTTTGTGTCACTTATTATTATTTACTTTTTAAAAATTTATTTTGCAATTAGGCTATTGCTAATCAAGGTTTACACACACACACACCCTTGTTGGGCCCGATCGTCTTGGCCTGATTGTCTCGTTGGTCCGATCATCTGTAATTCGAGGCTATGATGGATGCCTACTACTCTAGCCTAGGTCCCTCCCATAATGGCAGTTTACTTTACATCACATTCTACTGACGGCTAACTGTGCCTCTGCATTTGAGCCTGATCCTAGATACAGGTCTGCTATTATAGGCCTGTTGAGATGTGTCTAAATATAGGCCTACAGGCCACTGCTGATCCTCCCAGATGTAGAGGTCAAACATAACTCCTGTCTTCGGGTGTTGGTGGTGGCTGTTAGTCCTGGGGAGCACATTTGTATAGCAACCTTACGGGGTGGGGGGGGGG